GAATGTTCATTCTGTTCAATGTACAAGTCATTTGCTCTTCAACTTTGTCGAACTCCTTTTAAAACATTAGAAACAGCAATCGCCCCTTTTTAGACGGAATCTACTCGTTACTTTCTGGTTGATATTATGTTTCGCAATGACATAATCCATGCAAATTATGGATAATGGCTGCCTTGCACATTGAGTTCTTGTATTCTCATGACAACCTAGCTAGAAGTTATAGTAAGTTTTACTATGCTAACAGTTTCTCAGTTGTATGATTGATATTTTCATCCCTCTCTTTTAAGATTGCGAGTTTAAATTATGAACTATATGTTATTATTTTAAAGCAACCAATAAAAAAATTATACCATACCACTGGATCCAGTTTCAACAATTAAAAAAAAAATTGCTCTTATTTGTCAAGAAAGTGACCTTCACTTTTGGTAAAGACTTTGGTATATTTGAATTGTGGTATGATAGTGAAATGGTTTTATCTTATTTGAATTTACTTTCAAACGCATGGAATGATTTTTTATTGTTCTTACATAATTTTTCAAACTTTCATTTTTGTAACTTTTGCAAATTACAGAATCGGTAATTTTTTAGAGTTAAAAAAATTTATTTCTATTTATATTCTTACCATTTTTTTTATTTTATATTTGTTCTAAATTAACCAAAAATTAATAGAAATAATAAATATATACAAAAATAATATTTTTTTTAATTTCTTTTATTTAATTACATATATATACATACATATATATATATGCAATATGCCACTTGATTTTTTTAATTTTATTTATTTATTTTTTATTTATCGTTCTTTGAATTCTTTTCTGTATTTAAAGTCTTATTTTTTAATATTTTATTTATTTATTTATTATTATATACAATAAGATAAAAATAAAAAATATAATTTAATTAAACTTACAATTATATCATTCTATCAATCTAAACAAAAATAACTGTTATTAACATACATTAATACATAATTTTTTTAAATATAATATAATTTTATCATTACTATATTATATCAATATTATACAATACTATATATTAATGAATTATCCTAAAAATCATCCAAATAAGCTCTAACCCTATAAATAAGTATATGAAAATGCATTTAGATGGAAATTATGAAATTTGTTAAACATGCTTAGTGGTCAAGAGTTATCTTAAAAAAGATGACCTTGATTTTGAAGAATCTTCAATGAGACTTGATTGACTTCTCTTCATAGTTTGCTAGCCCTTATTGCCACTGAACATTGCTAGCTCTTGCATTGTAATAGCAAGTTAGAAAAATTAACTAATTAATATTTAATTATAGAACCAAAAGTATCCATATTATTATTTTATAAATTTTAAAGATTATAGAATTAGTATAAATTGTTATGGATTTTTTAGTATGTAAGATGGCCAATCGAATATATATGTGGTTATCATCAGTTGATCTGAACAAATCTTGAAAAGTCTCAAGGGAAGAGTAGAGTAAAGAAGAGAAATGGAGAGAAGATACGAAGAATGAGAACTGACTTCGAGGGCATGTGCATGTACACAATATCTTTAAAGTATTTTAGAATAAATTGTATTCATTAATATGGGGTCATATATACTTAAATAAGAACGTAACTTCTGTACTATTCTTATTCTTTTATTTAAGGCCTATAATTTTTTTAATTAACTCTTATACTTCTAAAAATTTTCTAAATAAAGGGCCCCGTTATAATCAACATTATTTGAGCGCTGTCAACGCCACGTAGCAGGCGACATGGCAATTGACAAGATCGTAAGATCCATAATGAAAAGCATACGGACTTGTATTCTGCTCTACGTTTGAGATTATATGAGAAAGATGAGAAGAAAATTTTCCAGAAATATTAATATAAACGTCATTTTCAGTCGCACTTTGAGTTTTGATGAACTGTAGCATGCCTCTGAGCAAGTAAGCGCTTTGTAGATTCAAGGACACCAAAAAAGATTGATCCCCCAATGGCTATCCTTATTACTCTTGGCTCGATGCCCTACAATAATTAAAACAAAGTAAGAATTGGGCACGGAGAGAAGTTGAAGCTCACAACAAAACTTTGTGACAACCCGCTATTAACTATAAGATTGGAATTATTCCAGAACAGAAAATTTCAATGATTAAATCCAAAGGTCAATAGCTAGTGCCAGATAGACAATAATTTACATATTTACTGGATTGTTCTTCCAAATACTATATGATTTGGATAAAAATATAAAATGAGATTAAAGTCAATTTTGCCTCATAACTTGTTCCTGCTGGATATTTTCCTCTTATCCTTCTTAGGCAACTAATAGTATTATAGTTTTTGGATAAGAATTTAATAGCAAGCACAAGTTTCCATGCTCTCCTACTAGCTTTGCACTCGCCAGCACATTTAATAGCCATTGGATTGTTTGCAATAACTCTATATGGGTGATAACTGTACTGTTGCTCTATTGAGTACCAGTTGTTTTCCTTTGGTTCCCTATAAATGTTGACTCCCTGTCATGGAGTGACAATGTACCAGCAAAGAAACCGAGACAACACAAGCCTGATATTTTGATCTGAAATTCTCTATTTGGTATACAGCTGGCATGTCTCTTGCTGTATTTGCTCCTTTCCTTTTTTTTCTCTTAGAAGAAAATCAGGCTATATAAATGATCAAATCTATTTGCCTACTCAAATATTTGAAGAGAAGTAAATATGCAAGTGTCATACCTTCAGAAGAGCAGGAGGCCCCTCTTCCCGAATAATAGTTTGAACACAATCAAAAATTCCTTTGTACTGGTTTGCAGATCCCTAAAATTTTGGGCAGGGGTCTCAATCAGTTAATAGCTTGCTAATTTGAACAATGGCAGAACAAAGATAAACCATACCTGAACCATTAATCTTGTTTTAATCACATCCAGGGGAGTGGTTATGGCTCCAGTTAGTGCACCTATAAAGTATCAAAGAGAGGACATACTGTATTAGAGTATTGCAATTTGCTATTCCATTGGCATTTCACCTTATGGAAAACGAGAGGCTAAAAGAGTAACAGTTCAGACCATGAAAAACTTCAATTCTCAAAATGACTACATCTAGATTTGTGCATATCAATATGTTATATAGTACCTGCAAAAGCACCAATGATAGCATTCTCAGGATCAGTGAGATCTCTTCGTGCCTGCTAAAAGGATGAATTTTCAAAATTACTAACTAAAATTTGTCAGGACCTCTAGTCCCATTACAACATCTAAAACCCTCAATCATTAAAAGATAGTATTATGATATTCAAGTAAAATAAACTGGCAATTTTAAGGAAATAAAAAGTCAGAATGTGACATCATGGAGAACCAAATTTAATGAGACAGGATCAGGTAGATCAGTAAGTGTATATTACAAGTCAATAAAACAAAATTGATAAACCTGATACTTAGCAAAAAATTGTGGAGGACTTTCATATCCAAATTGCAGTGTTCATAACCTCGCATAACATTGCCCAGTAAAAGCCAAGAAAAGGATTTGGTAGATTTAGCAAGGTATAAAGCATCAGCAATTAAAATAAAAGCCTAGTAATTAGTTATAATATCATTAATGGCAAAGTTTGCACTAAGTTAGTTAGAGAAGACATCTTGTGTTTTTTCCAGTAGAACAATGAGAAATTAATAACAATATGAAGAAAAAGCTTTATATAACTGCATATTTATCTAATGTTTAGGCCAAAATAATTCTCAAACATTGAGGAATTTCATACATGAGACTTTTTACAAACATGAACACACTGAAACCCAAAGATAGGGGCGCAACGAAACTAGCTTGATATCATTTCATAACTGCGGTTTGTTAAATAAGTAAAGCAACTTAACAGAAAAATCTTATGAAAGCACTTGTAGCCTCTACTTCACTACAATATTTTATGTCAACTTCATTTAAAAAAAAATAGTATCCTAGGTCCAAGAGGGCTTTTCCTGCTGCTTTGAGATAACTTCCAACAGTCGTGTGGTATCTGTACCTAACAAGATCAACTGCTTTATTGCAGTCATACCATTCAACCACGCATTCATAGAATATAGAAGGAACAGAGCACCCAAATTGATATAACTGGGAAGCAACATAGCACACAGGATAGCCAAGGAAATGGAAATTTTGAAAACAATAGTGTAGTTTGCTCTCACTGGGATGCAAGTGCAATATGCGTATGGATCTAAGTAACTTGACTTGACTTAATTTTTACACTTAAAAGATAAATGGACTTGGTTAACAGGAGAAACAATTGGGTATAGGTGTTTGAATTTGTTTGACATAAACAATGATGAAACTAATATTTAGCCTTTAGGAAGTTAAGATGATCTCATATATATATATAACACACAATATTCAGCACAAACAAATAACAGATATCATACTTTTAGCGGAAATGAAAGAAATGAGTTTGATCCTAACCAGTTATGTATAAGTAGTTAAGTATTTAACCTAATATTCTATTTTCTTTTCTAGCTTCCAACCTAATATTCTTTGTCCTCTTCTTCTTATTATCTTATATCATGACTTCTAGTTTTGGATCATCAAATATCCAACACAGACATCAGGTTTCAGACAAATATCCTACATCACCACCAAATCATATCCTGTCTTACACAATTATGGTGCTGAAATTAAATACTCTGAGCAACATAGAGCTAGTGAAAAGTGCAGAATAGAGGTGTGAATATTTCATGTGCTATTAAAGAAGTTTACCGCTTTCTTATAACCCAGTCGAAGTTGCTCGTAGATGCAAAATTGGATGGCATCAAATGGTAAATCTCGCAACAGAAAAGAGCCATATCCCTAGAACCAAAGATTTAAACAGAGAAAAAATAATAAGCACAAGGGTGAATTGACGGGGAGTGAAAGAACTTGGGAGGTTGTAAGTATGCAAGGTAGTTGGGATAAGAAAAGAAAGAGGCAATTATGAAGGTAAGGATTGCATACTGCATAAAGGCCCTTAAATCCTTCTTTTGCAATAATAAGACGGACAGCATCGGGAGCGGAGGTAAACTGTCTGGTCTGCATCCTTTGCTTAACAACCTGAGCATTGTTGGAGAAAAACATAAAAGAGAAATTAATATATTTTTTAAGAAGCTATTACAGCAGCTATAAGTATCAAAATTCAACATATTGAAAAAATTACCTCTGTTGGAACCCGGATGAGAGAGGCAGCAATTCCCCCAATGGCACCTGCGGTCTGACCAAGAGCTCAAAACTTTATAGGGTTCTTGGACAGTGTTGACAAGGTCAATATACGGGGCATTTCAAGACTCTTGAGTGCTGATATGCTTGTAGGTTATAAAGCGCATTAAACTCTCTCTCTCTCACACACACACATGCACTTGTTATCTTTTGACACTTAAAAGTTTTTATTGGGTTACTTCAGATTTGAGTCCTTTACTTCTTAGTTTCATGGTGTTAGTGAGAAAAAGGAAGACAAGTTTGACATTTTTGCTGTCAAACCTTGTTATGGCTTCCATCTTTGTTGTAATCTTTAAGTCTTTGCTCAGTTAGTTGTTTCAAACTGTATTAGTGAACAAGCTTTCATAGAAATCATATGAAACATCCAAATTACTTAAGGCTGTAACCAAAGTATTTTCTCTATTCTTAGGAATAGTTACAATGAACAAACTTGGATCTTCTATATTTAAGGCAAATTCAATGAACACGTTCAATTTTTTCTGCATCAATTTCTTCTCTTCTTTGGCATACCATCAACATATGGAATCAAAATTAACAAGCTCTAAGAGGGACAGAAGAGGAGTTTTTGAGGCA